CTAACCACGAATATACGTGTTGTCCTTGGCGCGTGATCTGTACATGGCACACTGCGTCGCGACCAACCGTTTTGGCTCGTTCGGCGTGTCCTCGGTGCAAGGTGGCACTCGGCACGTGTTCCGTGAAAACTTGCGTTGGGCTCACACCACCAAGCGACTCGACTGGCGTCTGGTTAAGTAGGTTGGCTTGAACCAGCGGTACGAGATACGCCCACTGCGCAAGGTTCTGATGGTACTCGCGCAGCATGACCCGCAAAACTTGGAGAATAGCGCGGTTCAAACGCTCGACGGTACCGTTGCGCCACGGCGTGAATGTCAAAATAAAGTGGTGGTCGACCTTGTAGACTTAGGCCAGCGTTGCAACCACTTGGTTCTTGAAGTGACTGCCTTGGTCCGACATGGTCATCCGAGCGCCAGGACTGAAGAGATGGCGAATGACCAACGGCTTGGACACGTCACTCGCTTGAACGTCACTCGGTTGAGCCAAGGTTTTGCTGTCGACGTCAAGTCTTGAACCACCTCGTTTCGGTGCGGAGGCGGCGGGTGTGTGGCTCGGCCTTTCAAAGCCCTTTGGCCACCCGAAGATGGAGCCGTAGACACGAAAGACATTATTGTACAATGTAGAAAAGTGGTTAAATAGCATGTGCGCCCACTAGCGCACAAACGTGTCGTTGCCTGTACTGCTCCGCGACACAAACGAGTCGAACGCCGTACCGTGGCTGTCGGACACGAAGGACGTGTCGGCCTGCGACTCGAGCGTACTTTCCCAGAGCTGGGGCCGGCGCGCCTCTTCCATGTAGCTATCGTTCTCGTTGTGGAAGCGCGGCGCGGTGTCGACGTCGGCGGCCGTCGGAGTCGTGCCGTCTGTGTACGTGTCAAAGACCGCCGCGCCCGCCGCGTGCGTCGGTGTCAACGGGTCGTCGCGCACCGTCGTCGAGCTACGCATGTGCCGGCGCTTGATAAAGCAGACGACGCCGCCGGCCAAAACGATCGCACCCGCAGCAATGATGCCAACGACGGGCCAGACGCCGAGCGCCGTCGACTCGGCTTCGCTCGGCGCTGGCGTGACGACGGGCGATTTGGTCGCTGTTCGCAGGGCGGTCGTTGTCGTGGGAGTTGGTGCTGCTGCAGAGGTACTCGGCGTTGGCGCATCCGTCGATGGCGACGCAGTTGGCGCCTGCGTGGCCGGGGCCGCTGTCTTGGGGGCGTTGGTCACGGGTGCGGCGGTGGGAGGCGCCTGAGTCGGTGGCGCTGTCGTCAACGGCGGCTGCGTGGGTGGAGCCGTCGTTGTCGGCGACGCTGTCGTCGTGGGCGCCGGCGTTGTCGTCGGCGGCGGTGTCGTCGTTGGCGCTGCTGTCGTCGTCGGTGGCGGCGTCACGGTGGTCGGCGTCACAACGGTCGTGATGGTGGGCGTGGTCTCGTTGCTTGCCGCAACGCCGCTGATGGCGAGGAGGAGGCAGGCGACCAAGGTGGTGGTGGCAGACCAACGTCGCATGCTGCTGGTCGGAGGCAAAAGTGAAAATGACACGGCCGCTGACAGCAAACATTGCAACCTTGCAAAATTTCAACTCCATTCCACCTGTTACACGCCGTAAAATAGTAGTTATAACAACATTTCGGAGCCTTTCTCACTGTCAGTCGATGAAGCCGCATGTAGCCTGGCGACGTCCGACAGGATCGCTCGACCCTCCAAAGCAGGAGCGCAGGTATCGACCGTGCCTGTAGTTAGCTGGTTTTGCTGCAGGTTCGTGGTTGGGCGTCGCCCCGTCGGTGCTGAAGACGTTAGCACCGACGACCGAGATAGGAACGGCTTGTCGCAGCGCAATCACTGGACGGGTTGGCGCATTCTAAAGGTTTCAGACCAAGCGAATCTATCTAGCGTATACATCTAGGACTGCTTTCCAAGGTGCAAAATACTGCGCTGCGCCTTGGCGATGGCCCGTGTAACACTATCCTGAGATGTTATAACTGGACCAGCCTGTGACATGCTGCGCATTTGGGTATCCCGTTGAAATATTGGGATATAATTCCAACCAATCACATGCGAGTATCTATACCGTTGCAGCCAATCCACAGTGAACAGGATTGGCGCCAAATTGCACAGCACGGAGATCGGGTCTTGGTTGCTCACTGCGTCTTCGAGCTAAACACACGAGTACTCATGAGATAGTTTAGGAGTTACGACGTTTATCATGGCTAAAATTACAATCGAAGGGACGGGCCACGTGAGCGGGACGGCGTGGACACCTGTCCAACCAGAGTATCTTCCAGCCACCATATCACTGCATTCCAACTCGAGAAAAGGAAAGGGCTCTGACAACGCGTTCTGGCGCCGCTCTCTTCTTTGGGGCGAGTTGGAAGGCTACTTGGGGCCGGCGGTTGGGTGCAGCTATGTACCGTACTGTAGCCAACCGAAAGCACTGCGTCGACCCTACCACTATCGCTTTGCATATACACTGGAAGGTTGCAATGGTGCGTCGATATCGTATTGAGCCATCCACGCTCCAGTGTGGCTCTTCCACGCAGCACAGATGGGTTGTCAATACAGTACGAGCGCTGTGCTACTATACTCCGAGATAGCAAGCGAGCAAGCAAGCAAACTTCAACACGATCCAACGAGAGGCACGACAATAGGAGGCGGCTAGTCCTCAATAAACCAAGCGTGTTGGATACAAAGCGAATGCTGAAGTGAGCCTCTAGGACTCGGGCAGGGAGTGGCTGTAGTCCACTTCCCTACAATGAATTGGCTATAGAACATTTGGCATAAAGATTCTTCCAGGATCTTCAGCAGACAGGATCTACCTCTAGGCTTAGGATACAACCACCTAGGTTCCAGAACCTGAGCTGTGCGGGTGGGTTGTCATGCAGTCATTTAACTAGCACAGTATCCCAGATACTAGTATACTAGTACCACAAACGCCCTTCTTCGGCCAAGCCCTTCGGTCATGAAGGGTGCAGACAAGTCTTTTGTCGATCGGCTTGGCACGGATG